CCATTCCATGGTTTGATTTTTCCCTGTAATCAATCATGTTTTCAATGAGGGCTTAGAGACAGTAATTTACTTAAAAATTCAAAAACAATTAGGTAATTAGCCCGCACCTTGTGCGGGCACAAGAGTTTCATAAAATAATTATATCATTAAATTATTAACTTTGTTAAAAAAAAATCTTCCAAAATATAAGAACAATGTTAGACATTCGACCATTATCATTTACTCGTATATTTATAATTACAGAAAGTTTTTTCTGACTATTTTTTTTATCTCTTTCTCAACATAACTCTTCCTATTTTTTCGTAAATGTGTGTCATTCTAATCGGTTATTTCACGCGTTTTCCTTCTTCTTCTTTAACATATTTGGTTTATGTTTCTTCTTCTACTTAATCGTCTTTGACTTTGACTTATTCTTTATTATTTTTTTTGTCATTTTCAACAATTATTCTTTTTTTTTGTATATGATTGTCTTCGTCTTCCGATTTTTCTTTTTATCGTTTTCGTCTTTTCTGGCTTATTATTCTTTTGTTTCTTCTTCATCTTATCTTCAACCTCAACTTCTTCCGCTTCGTCTTTTTCTTCTTATTTTTTTAGTTTTGTTTATCGTCTTCCTCATATTTTTCTTTTCTCCTTTTCATCATATTCAGTTTATTCTTCTTATTCATCACATTTGTCATCTTCAGTTCCTTCTACATATTTTTTCAGTTTTTATTCATCATCTCCAAATCCTTACCTTCCTCCTCATTCTTCTTCTTTGATGTCTTGGTCTAATCTGCATTTTATTCTTCTTACGGTTTCTATTTTCTTTGTCTTTGTCATATCTTTCTTGTCTTTTCTGATTGTTTTTATCTTATTTTTTTTCTTTTCGTTATCTTATCATTCTTCTTTTCCATCATCTTCGTCTTCTCCGAATATTTTTCTATTCTCACTCTTCCTGTTTTTTCTTCTCACTATTCTTCATCATTTTCCTTCTTTATTGTCTTTTTATTTTTTCCTTCGTTGTATACTTTGTCATCTTAAAGTTATTCTTCTTCTTTATTATCTTCTTCTTCCTTGGCTTCTTTTTTATTCAGCTTTGTCTTCATTTTCTTCTCCCAGATTTCTTCTTCCTCTTCTTGTTCCCTCTCATTTCTACATTTTCTTTGTATTTCTTATTCTTCGGATGTTTCTTTATCACATCATTGTCTTCTTCCTCGCCATATAACCTTGTATCTAAGTATTCCATTATCGGTTTCCATTAATCTTTTTTTTCTCTCTCTAATTATATATATATATATACATATATATTGTTCGTCTTTCCCTCTTTCTTTCTAGAATCTCCTAATCATGTTATAGTGATGGAACTTTCAACTATTTTAATTTAGATTAAAGTGATTTTATAGAACGACTCGCCTAAAAGTTTATTTTTTAAAAGCTAGTTATTTCTAGATAGATATATGTTTGACTATTCTAATAATGTATCAAGAAACATGATGATTCTTAGAGAATTCATCAAATATGGGGTAGAAATGTATCACTCTTCAAATCTGCTAATTTAACAGATGACTACAAAAGTCATATGCTCTCTCTCTTCAACAATTTGGCCAAATATGATATCAACAATTATTCTTAATCTCTTTATCCAAACGTACAATAAAAAACATTAAAAATAGATGCTATATGTAGATTCCACTTTGCTTCATTCCTAAATACTGTCCTAATATCCGCAAAGTTGCATGGATCTCTAGCATAATCCAATAGAAATTTCAAAAGATCAACCTCTCTCGGACAAGACTCCACAACACATCGGGTGATCCTAGAAGTCAAGATCTTCATAGTGTAGCATACCCTCTTGAACATAGAATGAAGAACACCATCAACAGTTTTAATATCCTAAAAATAACACAGACCTCTCCTCACAAGCAATAGAAGGCGTAGATAATGAGTTCACCAGAATTAAGTGAACAATCCTCTAGCACACCCGAATTCCGAGAAACTGTGAGCCGGGTATCCATTCACATCGCTTCGGATCCCATACCCATCTAGAAAAAGGGATGTTGGAATATAACAATGTCATTGCCGCTGGATTAAGTTGATTGCATTCCATCCAAGATATCAATTTGCTTTTGTTCTTCGAGTCAGACACGTTGACATCATCATAGATGGAATTTTGTGGCAAAGGAAGATGCACCGGCAAATAACCAGAACCCTATAATTATGAAAGAACACATATTAATGGATTTCAATTATGATTAATAGCATGGAACAGAATCAAAGATAAAGTTAAAAGAAAACTATACCTTTTGGCATCATATTAAGTTGCAAAAACAATGAGAAAGGAAGCAGAAACGTGTTTAGCCAAATCAAGCTAGGGTTTTTGGTTTAGAAAACTAAAGATGTAATGAGAACAGAATAACAGAAGAATATTATTGATCAGTGAAATATTTATTTTGACCATGTTTTGTTCTATACGTATTTATACTTATAAAATAAAAAGCATAAACGATATTTGTAAGGATAATAACTGTTAGCATGTATATATCTATTTAAATAAGATATTGGAGATTAATTGTTAATTAAAGATGAAGTGAGTGGATGGAAAAGTTTAGGGGTTTTTTTTTGGTACTTTTAAATTTTCGATTTTTGGGTGTTTTTTTTAATTAAAACAATAATTGAGATGTATAGAAAACTATGGTCGTTTTTTTATAAAAAAAGTAGATTAATAAAGTAATAGTTTGTTTTTAATTAAAACAATGATTGAGGTGTATAGAAAATAATTTTCGTTTTTAAAAAATATATTAAGAAAATAATAGAAAATAATGGTCCTTTTTAGAAAATATATATATTAAGAAACTAATAATTTTTTTAATTAAAATAATGGTAGATTTTAAAAAACTATTGTCGATTTTTTTATTTAAAAATATATTTAATTTAAAGATAAGATTATATTTTACTAAGATTATTAAATTTTAACTAAATTTAATTTGAACCGAGTAAAAGACTAATAACTAAACTTAATTTGAACCAAGTTAAAGGCTAATATAGACTTTTTAATGAGAGATAAGACGATAATTAACCACCTCCAAAATCAATGAGAGAGCTGGAAATTAAAAATTTACTTTGCTTATAATATATATGATTTGTGATCATAACGGATGCAAAAATAAAACGTATTGAGTGAATCTTCTTGAATGAATGTCTTCATTGGAACATGCGTTTTAGACGGAAAAATCCAACCATGGAATGGACAATGCGGCTGTGAGCAGGGTACTGTACAGTTGTACGTAGTTGTAGTACTGCAGGTTGTGGATAAAGAAAAATATAATGTGAAAAAAATATATGAAAAAAATGAACATGAACAACATTTTTATGCGTAATTCTTTTGCTCAGCAAAATTCTTTTGTTCCAATGGGATATTAATAAATTAAATTCTAGGAAACATACTAATATAATTTGACTCCCCAGATTTCTTTTGCTAAATCAGCTAGGAAATCAACTTTAAATAGTTAGAACATTAATTTATGTAGGAAACATATTAATATTTTTGAGATATTATTCACACATTGACAAAAAAAAATCAAACATATCTAAAACATTGACAATAGGGAAACATATCTTGACATTAAAAAGAAACATATTAATTAGTTATTTTGTTTTCTTTTGATAACCATTATTACTAATTAGATTTTGTCTCCTATTTTTCTTTTAATGTTTGAGGAACTTTTTCGTTGCTGTCGTAAAAATTTTTAATTCCATTTTATGTGTTCGATTTTTAATCTAAAAATTTAAACTTATCCCTACGTAGTCTTTTTTTTATCATCTCTATACAGTAAAAAATCTATAAATTAATACTTGATAAATTAATAAATACTATAATTAATAATTTTTCATGGTTCTGAATTGGGACAATTCAAAATATAACATAATTTAATAATATAATAAAATAATAATTTTAACAAAATTCATATGTAAAGATATGGTCTCATTAATATCATAAATTAATAATTATCATAAATAAAATTTAATATAAATATATAAGTGAGATAATTTATTAAAATATGAATATAGTGTTATTTTTTATTTATTTTAAATTAAAGTCTTTTTGTAACTCATCTTTAATTTTAGAACTTTAAAAAAAAAATTAGAATCTCTTAAAAACATCTCTTTTAAAATTAATAAAAAATAAAAAATATTTTTTTATTTAAAATATATAAATTAATAACTCTATAAATTAAAAAAATATTAAAGTCCCAACATTATTAATTTATAGAGTTTTTACTGTATATTCAAATTTTTTTATGAATACTTCAAAAAATTTATCGAATCTAAATTCATACCAAAATCATACTTAACCTTCAGGCTTCAGTATTAAATTATGTTTTACTTTGATTAGTACTAAAACCCTAGAAACCAAAATACCCTATCCGAAACCAACCATAAACTCTGTTGTATACGTGCATGTAATATCTGTAATCTTTATACTGTATTATATAATGAAAAGTGGAGACAACATGCGCTGATCATACATATATCCCTGAATTAATTCATCTGATTCAAGCTACTATGGTACATCGGTTTGGAGAACAGATGCTCACCGTAACGTGTTCACCTTCAACGGAAAATAGGGTTTAGTGTTTTAGCTTTCCATGCTATATGTTTTTTTAATGGATAGTCTAATGTACATTAATCGGTTTCGTTTTGCTAAGAAAGTATGCATGCGCCAGTCGTGCGTTAACCAATTCTTGATTGTCTCCCAACACTCGAAATTGAAGTCTCTCATTTGGGCTAAGAGACGTGTTCTAGGGCATCAAGTGGAATGCAATTTCTTTGAGATAGAGAGCTTAAAGTTGACTAAGATGATCAATTCTTCTACAAAGTGGTCGTTGTCCTTCTCAGTCCTTCCTGAGGGTTTAATTTTGGTTCTCTATATATATGGCAATTTGGTTTTTACAATTGTTACTCGATGTTAAATGTAAAACATTGAACATTACAGTAAAAAATTTAGAATAAAATTAAATCTCTTTAATCCAACAAAAAAAAAACTAAACTAAATAGAAAAGGTTAAATTAAGTATTTAGACTAAAACAAATCTTGGCTTTGCCAATCCACTTGTCACCATCATGCAAAGTTTACATGGAAACTATATAAATGTTTCCGACCCAAAATAGGTCAAAGTTGACCCATGAGTGACAAATAAAGAAGAAAATGGTAAGAAAATAAAGACATACATATAGTAAATTCCCAAATTGTAGAAGGTTTTACTTACGGAAAAAAATGTAGAAGATTTTTCTTTTCTCTTTTTTTTTACAAAAAAAATAAAATCAAATCGATGAAGATTTCACGCTTTTTTATTTTATTTTAAAATTACGTATAAAATAACATAATATTTTACATAATATTACATTATTGTATACTTTCAAAACATTTACGATAAAATGCACCACATATTTATGAAAAATATACCTTGTAATTTTGCAAATCAACAAATTGCTATCTATCTAATGAACCCAAGAAAAAAATCAGGAAAAGAAATTAAAAAGCCCTAGAGTGACAAAAAAGGTAGAAAGGTCTTTTAATATGGCACGAAAATGATTGTCATAGTCATTAAATGCTACAAAATCAGACTGTTGTATTGGCAACAAAGAGACACCAAAGCCTCAACAAAGAGGCACCAAGCCTTAGAGTCAAAAAGACAGCAAAATAAAAATCCAATTTCTTACAAGAAAAAAAAAACAAAAAGGATTACTTTTGAAACTCTGGTTTTGAGGTTTTGCCCGCTGAAAAAAGTCATGGGTTGCTGCTACTCTTCCATGGTAGATCCTCAGCAACAGGCTCATCAAAACCACAGTGGAGGCGATCCACCATTAACTAAGTTCTCCTTCTCCGATCTCAACATGGCCACCGAAAAATTTAGTTCGAAAAACATTGTTTCATTGAACGTAGAGGAATCTTCTGATGTTGTCTACAAGGGGCGTTTGCAGAATCGCGGCTTGATCGCTGTTAAGAAATTTAAGAACACGGCTTGGCCTGATCCTAACCAATTTGAGGTACCCTTTTTCTGTCTGAAAAAGTTTTTAATTTTTGTGACTGACGGTTATTGATTGATTTTGATGGCTGTTTCTTCCTTTGTTGTTTTCAAGGAGGAGGCACAGAGAGTGGGGATGTTAAGGCACAAGAGAGTCGTTAATTTGATTGGGTATTGCTGTGATGGAGAGGAAAGGCTTCTTGTTGCAGACTTCATGCCTAATGATACTCTTGCTAAGCGTTTGTTCCATCGTATTCTTCTTCCTCTTCATGTCTTCTTCTAATTTCACAAATTATTGGTTTATGTGACATGAATGTGGTTTATATGGTTTTGAGACAGAAAACTTTTGTTACTAGAACTAACATGTACCATTGTATATGCTTGAAGAATCGATTGAATCGGAACTTGTCAGCATTTCTATGTTTTGACTTTTTTTTTTTTTGATTTACAGGAAAAAATCCAACGGTGGAATGGGAAACGAGAATGAGAGTAGCCTACTGTATAGCAGAAGCATTGGATTATTGTATTAGTGAAGGTTTTGCATCGTACAATAACTTAAGTGCTTACACTGTTCTGTTTGATGAGGTATAGACTTAATAATGAATAATCTTATGAACATCATTTTCATGCATAGGCCTTTTTATGATCCAAATTAGGATGCTCAACTTTGTTTTTCCTCAATGAATATTGAAGGATGGTGATGCCTGTATTTCTTGTTTTGGCTTGATGAAAAAGAACAAAGATGATCAAAGAACAACCGGTAATGGATTCACGCTTTATCTCTTGAGGTCATGATGATTGTTATTATAACCAGAATGTGATGCTATATCCTCCTTGCAGGAAGTGTGAACCCTGAAAGTGTGATATTCAGATTTGGTACTATCCTTGTGGTTTTGCTAAGTGGCAAGCAAATTCCTCCGAGCCATGTAAGTGTTTTTGTTCAAGTCCTTTCTTGTTTACTTACTAGCTTAGTATGCTAATATGTGGATATAAACCATTTTGCCTCGATTTTGTGATTGTCCTCGGACTATGGATCTGACTGGTATGACAAATGAATAGCATAATAAAAAAATTAATAGAGAAAATTTAGTGGGACAAAAATGAACTGAATAATTATAAAACACTGAAAATGTAGTTTTAGTAGATTAATCACATCTTTTTCTAGTTAATTTTTTTTAACACGGCAATTGTATATAACATAATCATTTTTCAAAATTATGAAAACTTAAAAATTTAATGAATAGTATGAACAGTCATGTTTTCAAAATGTGAAAACCTGATAAATCTATATACCACTCAAACCCTATATTGTTTATTTATTGCAACAGAAGCCACATATAAGACTAAATAGTTTTTGACATTAATCAGTTATTTCCTTTCTGTTTCTAGGCTCCTGAGATGGTACATGGAATGAATGTTATTGATTTGATTGATCCGAACTTGAAGGGAAACTTTTCTAGAGACGAAGCTACCATAGTTTTCAAACTCGCCTCTCAATGTCTGCAGTACGAGGATATAGAGAGTCTCAACACAAAGGAACTTGTTACAACACTCGAAACCTTGCAAACTAAAACAAAGGTAATGGTATCTTTTGTGATCCTAATTGCATTAATGCATTATTGCATTCATGATAAACCGGTCTTCTTGCTTGCAGCCGCCATCCCCATCTTATGCAATGCTTGAAATGGAAAAGAATCAGGAGGTATCTTGGACTAAGTTTTCGCCACTAGGAGAGGCCTGTTTGAGAATGGACCTCACAGCTATTCATAAAGTCTTGGTGACAGCAGAATATGAAGATGACAAGGAAGTCGTCGAGGTAACCAAACTCATTAACTTAAAATATAAATCTGCAGCTAATTTGGAATCAAAAAGACTTACTATTCTTGGTTTTATTCATGAGCTAAGTTCTCTTTCGAAGAATGGATACAAGCAATAATAGATCTTCAAGAGGTTCGAAAACGCGGTGATCAAGCCTTCTTAAAGAAAGACTTCGAAACTGCCATTGACTGTTATTCTCAGGTAGCTAATATTATCCACCCTTTTGCATTTTCCTTTGCATATTATAAATATATCTGTTTTTAAATCTGTTATTGTTGTCTGTCCACAGTTCATTCAAGCTAAAAGAATAGTGTACCCAAGTGTTTATGCGAGGCGTAGTTTATGCTATTTATTCTGCAATCAACCAGACCGAGCACTATACGATGGGATGCTTGCACAAGAAGTGTTTCCTGATTGGCCAACCGCCTTCTACTTGCAGTCTGTGGCACTATCCAAATTAAATATGATCACTGATTCTGTTGATACTTTCAAAGAAGCAGCTCTTATTGAAGCAAAGAAACAGCACCATAAGAAAGAATCTTGACTTTGCAGATTTCTTCTTGGATAAAAACTGAAATATTTGCTTTTGCTTCCGATTGACGCCTCTTCTGTAAATTCTGAGACAAGAATTAAAAAAGCTGAAACCTAATTTGCTATAAATCTCAATTTTCATCTCTTGCGGTGACTATTTCTGAAATAGGTTTTGGATAAATATAAAAGTAAGTTCGTGTGCTTTTAATTTTCCTTGTGTGAAGATCCCATTTTTGGCTATGGAGGTTTGGACATAGACTTCTTTGCTTACTCTCTAACATATATATATAAGCAACCCTCTTGTCTTGGATCTAGATAATAACCATCAACTAAAATCAAGAACTTGAACATACAAGTGTTCAAATGGATGTGTCAAAGTTTGTCATACATTTTAATGATCATGCGTTTTGGGTACACATCTTGTAGTTGCTGAGCAAAAAGGGAGACAAGATCCAACGTTTGGTTAATGTGATTTTAAGAGCTAGTGACATCTTCTCCTACCATCCTTACCGCTCATTGTACTCCATAAACAACTGATTTGATTCAGACACATAAGAGTCATAAGACACGTCTTATTTGTCACTCGTGCAAGTATGCAATAAGGAAATTAATCTTATTGGTAAGTTGATCTTTGAGGATGGTTAGAGAGAGACATGGAGCTGATGTGGCGGAGATCTTGATCCATTACTTTTATATTAAATGAGATGCCTTTTGTCACCTTGTAAGGAACATCTTATTAATGCTTGAATATATTAAGCACCAAGAGATTCCTCCTGTCTCTCTTTCCTTGTGTTGTATATATGTAAGAGCGGAGAGGCAATGAAAAGGCAGGAAGAACTTCTTAGTCCTCTCAAGAATAAATAACAAAACATATCCAAAAATGGCTGTCTCCTTCCATGTTCGATCAAACAGTTACCCCTCTAGACTTCACCCTCAAGCTGCCCATGTCGATGAGAAATTGGCCCGATTGAGATCTATTGAGGAAGCCTCAACATCTACAAGCTCTTCTATCTGTCAAAGACTTGAAAACGTTCAAGAGCTTCACGAGGCTCTTGACAAGCTTATTCGTTTACCAGTTACCCAGCATGCTCTAGCTCAAGAGCAAAACAAGAAAGCTGTCGAGAAGCTTCTTGATGGATCCCTTAGGATCTTGGAGTTATGCAACACATCCAAGGATGCTTTGTCTCAGATGAAAGAGAGTCTCATGGAGATCCAATCAATTTTAAGAAGAAAGCGTGGTGATCTGTCTGGAGAGGTGAATAAATACTTAACCTCAAGAAAATCCCTCAGGAAGACATTTCAGAAAGTACAAAAGTCTTTGAATGTTGCACAAACCGGAGACAACAGCGTTGAATCTTTGGCTGTCTTTGGAGAAGCAGAAGCTGTTACAATGACCCTGTTTGGTTCTCTGTTTAGCTACATGTCTGGATCAAAGACTTGTGGCAAATGGTCAGTTGTCTCAAAGCTAATGAACAAGAAGAAAGTTACATGTGAAGCGCAAGCGAACGAATTCACAAGGGTTGATTCCGAAATCCAGTCTGAGAAGACATTGAAGATGGAGGATGTACAGATCCTAGAGTCATGCATTCAAGATCTTGAAGATGGAATTGAATCACTTTCAAAGTCATTGATCAAATACAGAGTCTCAATTCTTAACACCTTAGGCCATTAAGCGTACAAAATTTTGTAGAAAATAGTAAAATATACTTGTACAAAAAAGAACACAAACAACGAATACAGAATTTTCTCATAATAGTTTGTTCTTGTGATATTTCTTCTTGTTTCACGAATGATCATCCAAGAACCAAACCTTTTCCAGTTTAGCAGAAACTTGATACAGTGTTTACCCTTAAAATTTAAATTTTGTTAATCTGTGAAACATTTTATCCTATGGCAGCGAGGAAGACAACGTTTACTTGCAGAGCCGTCTCAAATTATTTTTAGACCTTGTTCAAAATTTGTATTCAAGATATATTTAGTATGATACAAATACTTTTTTAAAAAAAAGTTAGACCCTAATTTTTGTAATTAACTGAAATTTCATAAAGAAAATTTTTGTTTTTGAATCAAGACCCTGTTCGAATGCTCCACTCGCACATGGTGTTAGACGGCCCTGTTTACTTGTTCGACATATCATGTGGCATCTCTGTCTAGAATAAAAAGATATCCCTTAAAAAAGGTGTCAAGTAATCCATTGTGAATATGTTAACATGCCTTGATCTACGAATACGGATCTTACCATTATCATAATTGTCTAAATATGTTTTCTTTTGATCAAGCAAGCGCTTTCGTCATTTTCTTTAATCTTCAGTGGTATAACATTTTCTTTAATGACAGGGTAGATTAAACAACAGTTACTTGTTCGACAAATCATATGGCATCTCTGAACCTCTACACGGTTATCTGATATTAAAGATATTCCGAAAAAAACGTTGACATGCCATGATCTGCGGATACGGATCTTGCCTCTACTTTCATCATTTATCACAGTTGTCTAAATATCCTTTGTTTTGATTACTATAATCATAATCATAAACTCATAAAAGCAAACGTGTGCGATACTGAAGCTTACCACACGGAGAGACTTATAAATAATCACAAAAACTTCTGAGGCAGGAGACAAGCCAAGCTGGAATTTACAGAAGCTATCAAGAGTGCTCGTGCGGTTAGAGATTTTTAAATAAAACTTAGTTGGCGGGAGACAGTGAGCTGATATGGTGGAGATCTTTACCATTACTTGTGTATAATGAGGATGAAGAAGATGCCACATGCCACTTTGGAAGGGGAACATTGTATTAATGGTTTTGATATTTTAATCACCATGAGATTCCTCTTGCCTCTCTTTTCCCTGATGGTGTATATATATGTACTGACTGGAGAGGCATTGAGAAGGCAGAACATCTTTAGCTCTCTCAACACCTTCTCCTTGATCAATAACAAAGAGCTTAAGGTTAAAGGAAAAAGAAAAAAAAATGGCAGTCTATTTCCACGTTCGCTCTAACAGTTTCCCTTCTCGACCTCACCCACAAGCCGCTCATGTCAATGAGCAGCTAGCCCGTTTGAGATCTTCTGAGGAAGCCTCAACATCTTCCACTTCTTCTATCTGTAAGAAACTTGAAACCTTCAAGAGCTTCACGAGTCTCTTGACAAGCTTATTCTCCTACCTATCACACAACAGAGACTAGCTCAAGAGCAGAACAAGAAAGCCATCGAGCAGCTTCTTGATGGATCTCTCAGGATCTTGGAGTTGTGCAACATTTCCAAGGATGCTTTGTCGCAGATGAAACAGGGTCTCATGGAGATCCAATCGATTCTAAGAAGAAAGCGTGGAGATCTATCAGGAGAGGTCAAGAAGTACTTAGCCTCAAGAAAGTCCTCCAAGAAGACTCTCCAGAAAGTACAAAAATATCTCAAGGTTGCACAAGCCGAAGAATCTTTGGCTGTCTTTGGAGAAGCAGAACCCATCACAGTTTCTCTGTTTGATTCTCTTTTCAGCTACATATGTGGATCCAAGTCATGCGGAAAATGGTCACTCGTCTCAAAGCTATTGAACCAGAGAAAGGTCTCATGTGAAGCACAAGCAAACGAATTCACAAGAGTTGAGTCTGAATTTCAATCCGAGAAGACCTTAAAAATAGAAGATGTTCAGATCCTAGAGTCGTGCATTCAAGATCTTGAAGATGGACTTGAATCACTATCCAAGTCTTTGATCAAATACAGAGTCTCAATTCTTAACACCTTTGGCCATTAAGCCTCCAATTTTTGTACAGAAAAGAAAAGTTAATAGAAACATATTCAAGTCTCAGTTCTAAACATCTTACTTCCTTTATTTTGATGCATTAATAATAGATAAATTTCATTCTAGAAACAAGAAATCAGACAATGCTCGAATTGATACTTGAACTCCCAAATTTCACTGTTTAAACTTCATGGTAAATCAAAATTAAGTTATTTACTCCAATCCACCTAATTAACGCGTCTTAATTTTTTCTTGGTTTAAGATCACTGATTAATATGATTGCTGCGTCTCACACGTTCTCTGCAATAATAACTCTGTTCATGTCTGTATGGTAGGAAACAATTGAACTAACTCAAGAAAATATAAAAAGAAGAAAGTTTAAAGCCTCCGTGGTGCTTTCACATGTTCATAACGTTGAATATGGATCTTGTCTGTGTGATATCTTTGAGAAAACTGTCTTAAAGATGAAACTTTCGTTTTATTTAAATTCACACGTCTTCTACAATAAAATAACTCTGTTCATGTCTATATAGTGGGAAACAATGTAAATGACGCAATAAACAAATAAAGAAGAACTTCAAAAGTATCCGTGTGCATTCACATGTCAAAAACGATGAGCAAGGATCTTGTCTTTCTATTCTATTATTGAACATGCTGTCTTAAATATAATAAATTGTTTGTTCATATAAGTTATAACAGAGCGAATATATGAACCAGCCAAAAAAAGATAATGAACAGAGAAAGACCATCTGAGGATTTTGAAGATGAATTTTTCTGGACATAAGTATTAGATCAAAGATGGTGACATGATAATGATGATAAGGATCAGAGGGTTATTGAGGGTTTCGATAACATTTTTATGCAATGTTTAAAGTGTGATTGGTTGATGAACTACGAGCAAGATTCATATCAATAGATAATGTGTGAATTAGTGCGTATAACAATATCTGTTTGATAATTGTTTCCTTGTCAAGATTTTACGCGGAAGATTAGATTGGACAAAGAATAAAGAATATACTTTTAAGTCTTATCTTCAAGATCTTGAAGGCATGAACTTTAAGATCTGCACAATCTCCATTTTCAAAGAAGAGAAGATTAACACATAGCATATAAACGCTGCCAATACAGTTTTTTTTTTTTTTTTTTTTCTGCGGTTATTCCTTTAAATAAAACTCGTTAATCAACAATCAGTGACTTTGAGCCTCACAACAAGTAAAACAGAGTACCAAACAGAGGAACAATAGTTATGACTTTCTGCTTCTTTTAACACAGCCAAAGATATGTGTCCTTCTTCTTGACTGACTTCTATCAGAATTAAAGAGTTATTAACCACACTTTCTTCAATAAATTATTTGGTTCACCTTTAAACCTCTTTCATCTACGCAAGAATCCTCCTTCGGCCATGTTTCTAAAATCCAATATCTTGAAGGATTCATCAAAATGGCTACATCTTTCTCTATCTTTTAGGACTCTGAGAACCCTGTGGAAGATTAGAGAACTCAAGATGCTTCATCTACCTTCACCACCTTTTTGGTCAATACATGTAGACCACGATATACCATTATTTGCTTTAATTGTTCATCTTTTAGGATCACAAGATTGCCATGTTTTATGCAGTGTTCCTTGTTACAATTTATTTGGGGAAAACCCTTAAGAATACCGATTAAGATAGAAAGGAAGATCAATATTCATGAAACAAAGATCCTCACACACCTGATTCAGAAATCTATGGTAGAAAAATTTCTAAGCTCAAAATGCAAATCCACAACAACGATACAGAGTCCCAAAATAGAGAGAGGGAAAGAGGAAAAGGAAAGTAACAACAACTTTTTTCCATAATCCCCAAAATGAAAATGTTCTGTTTGTTTTATTAGGCCGTTCACGCTGAGCTGGCTCTGCTCATCTCAGCTGTACACGTGTCTTCACTTCAACCGTCCAAACTATATCAAATCTTCCCCTCCTCGAAGACCTTGACCTCAAGGGCTGAAATCCGGGTACTTGTTGAGCAAGACATAGTAAAACTCCCAAGTAGCTTCATCTTCCGCCTGATGTAACCACTTTACCAACACCTTCGTAACTGCCTTGCCTTGGCGATTCACCATTTTCCTTTCCAAAATGCGTTCTGGTGCCTTCACCAACACATCAACCTCTGCATTGGGTAACTCCGTCGAAATAGAATGATCGCCGACCCGTAATTTCAGTTGCGAAACATTGAAAACCGGGTGAACCGAAGAAGAAGCCGGTAATTCCAGTTTGTAGGCCACTTTCCCACACTTATCCACGATCTTGTAGGGACCAAAATATTTAGGTGCTAACTTCTGGTTAGATCGCAAAACCACTGATTGCTGACGATATGGTTGCAGTTTCACAAACACCCAATCCCCCACTTCAAAAGTTCTTTTAGAACGTCTCCTATTAGCCACCTGAGACATTCTGTGCTGAGCTCTCATCAAATGAAACTTGAGCAACATTAGCATGTTTTCCCTGTCTCGTAAATTCTCTGCGACCACTGCAACTTTGGACTCGCCGGGTAAATAAGGTAGATGGATCGGAGGTGGCTTACCATATACCGCCTCATACGGAGTGATTTGTGTCGCTGTGTGGTAAGTTGTATTGTACGAGTACTCAACAAAAGAAAGCCACTTACTCCAGAGATATGGGCGATCACTACACATGCAGCGTAAGTATGTCTCCAGGCAGCGGTTAACCACCTCTGTCTGTCCGTCACTTTGAGGGTGATAAGCTGAAGAATAGTGTAGTACCACACCCTGTAAAGAAAATAGCTCCTTCCAAAAGTCACTCAGGAAAATGGAGTCACAGTCACTTACAATAGAACTGGGTAATCCATGGAGTTTAAAGACGGTATCAAAGAAAGCCTGAGCCACTGTAGTCGCTGTGTATGGGTGAGAAAGTGCCATGAAGTGTGCCGCTTT